TATTGTGTAAAACCACAGGTTTTGCGTCATTTATTCATAATAATAATGCTAGGAGGTAGCCACTATTATCATCTTCAATTTTCAGGCCAAGGGAAGGAGGCAGAGAAGTACAAGCATCCTGGATTCAAAGCCAGGGGTTACTCCAGATCAGTCTGCTGCTAAGATGGAAAGTTTAAACGTCTAATGACTGCTCCATTTCCTCAACCCAGGATTGACATGGAGGCTGGTGATAATTGGCAAAATAATACCTGGACGAATTGTTTCTTTTTCCCATCAGCATTTAAAAGGCCCTTTAAGATGGACAGACTTGTGTATTACTAACCAATTGCCTACTTTCCTGTCATACCAAAAAGAAACGACCAAAGTTTTCTATGCATCAAAGTTGCTCTGGTCAGGAAAACATCCATGCAGTTTGCCACCATATCCCTTATAAAGTTATTGATTTCTGCTAGTTAAAGTTCTGTCTGCAATCGAAGTTCCAAGCAGGAAGTATATATACCTTCCATAGCATTTATGCACAGACCAGACACCTCACTGGGATTGCAGGGACCATTTGGACATATACATATGTGTCCTTCATATAGTTGTCTCTGTCAATTTCATGTGTATAAAATCTATTTATGTAGACAGAACCTTTTTTATTATTTTTAATTTTGATAGAGTCTCACTCTGCTGCCTTGGCTGGAGAGCTCTAGTGTCAACCTGACTCACAGCAACCACAATTTCCTGGCCTCAAATGAGCCTCCTGCCTCAGCCTCCTGGCCTGCCACAATGCCTGGCTAATTTTTTTTTATCATTATTATTTTCAATAGAGACAGGATCTCAGTTTTGCTTAGGCTGCTCTTGAACTCCTGGGATCAAGGGATCAGCCAGCCTTGATTTCCCAGAGTTCTAGGATTACAGGCATGAGCCACCACACCCAGCCCTGACCAGGACAATGTTAAGGAACAGTTTAAGGTATTTCGAGCGTTAAGCAATTGTATAGTATCAATTATGAATGCTTGTCTGTCTTTTTCCTTTCTGGTATCATTCCCATTTTATTTAAGTGGCAACAATGAAACAAAGATATTAAATAATTTGTCTACAGTACATCCACACAAAAATGAAGTGGGAAAGCCAGAATATAAATATAAACCCAACCCCTCTTAATCATGATGATTGTTAATGAGGAAGGCAGGAGCTAAGAGATGGAATGTTGACTGGGCTGTCCCTATATTGTAGATAATCAAGTTTCTAAGAATAAAGAGTAAAAGTGGGAAAGGTAACAGTGAAGTAAGGAGATGGCGTTCCATTACTGAGCAAATTGCTGGCAAAACAATGGGAACCAGAGAATAACGTGTACAGTTCTCTCAGTGCAACCTCTTTTGTGTTGTTCATTTTGTTTTTGTTTCATTTTGTTTTCCCAACAACACTGGGGAGAGGGAGTAATTGAAGAAGTGGAGGGGAGGCTGTTGATCGTGACTGGGAGTTTAGCCTTCACGCCACTCACTAATCTCATGATTAGCTCCACCTTCGTTGTTATTCGGGAAATGGGCTGAAAGCCCCTGGGTTTCAGGAGGACCAGGAAGAGATGGGAGTGTTCTGAATTTAGCAGTGTGGGCTGGTGACCCAGATTATCACTTTCACATACAT